TGTTGGGGTTCAGTAACAAGCCCACCCCGAATCCAGGGGCCTCAGCTGTCAGCTCCCTGCCCCTCCCCCGCCCAGTGCAGGGAAGAGGGCACCTTCCGGGTGCAGGGGCTCCGCTCAGTCCTGCGGTCCTCTCTCTCGTCTGCCTGTGTATTCCTTTGTCTCCTCCCTGTCACACGTGCACCTGCTCCTCCAGGCCTTTGTCCTCTGCCTGGCAAACAGCCCCCCTCCCCACATTCCACTTCCCTCTCCGTTCCCTCCTGTGGCCCCCAGGACCCCCGCTTTGTGCTCTGGCTCTGGGACTTTCCTCACGGAGAGCCCTGCCCTGTCTGGGCCTCCGGTTCAGCCCCGACTTGACACCCAATTGAGGAAGCCTCCTAGGGAGCAGGCCCAGCCCTCAACCTAACCCAGAGCCTGCATACAACAGGTGATTAATAAACGCACCCCCTCTCCCTGGGGCTGGAGCTGTGGCTCAGTGGCAGAGCACTTGCCCCACACACGTGAGGCACTGGGTTTGATCCTCAGCACCACATAAAAATAAATAAATAAATAAAAATAAATAAATAAAAATAAATACATAAAAATAAGCGCACCCCACCTCCTGAGTGAGTGGGCATGTTGGAATCTGGGGTCCAGGGCCTGTCTACCGCCTCCCACCTTCTTTGCTGCTCTCCCTTGCAAGTGTGCTCTCTGCTGGTGTGTGTGTGTGCGTGTGTGTGCGTGTGTATGTGTGTGTGTATATGTGTCTGTCTGTCTGACGGCCTCCTCTGTAGCCTCATCTCCCTTCACCCTGCACCATTTTTCTTTCTCTTCTCTTTCCTTTCCAGGCACGTGGGTTTTCCTGATTCTGAAAGCAAGGCATCCATCTTCATGATGGAACTCTTAGAAAACACAGAGAAGCACACAGAAAACAATAGGCGGCCCCCAGAGTTGCTTTTCCCCAAAGGAGGGGCCCCTGAGGGCGTGCTGGGTGGACCCTCAGTGGTGTGCACCCTGGCCTCCACCTGTGCTTGCCCCTGCTCCTGCCTGGCCTCCTCGCGGCCCTCTCTGCTCCTCTTGGGGAGTCTCTGTCTCTGTCCCCTCTCTCTGGTCTCCTTGGGGTTCCCTGCTCTCACCTGAGGCTCCTCCCGCTCCATGGGTCTCACTTTAAAGCCATGCCTGGCTTCTGTTGGCCTGTTTGCCTGCCCTTCCCGCCTCCCTGTCCCTGCAGCCTTTGAATTGCCACCTTGCCTTTGCCTCGCCCGTGTGCACACGCGTGTCCCCCACATGCTTCCTGCTGCCACATGTCCCGTGTCGCCTCTCTGCTCTCCAAGGGGCACTCCCATTCATAAGTTCTGCTCATTCAAAAAACAGAGCGTCATTTCCCCCAAGTTGTTGGCTCTGGCCGGGGAAGCTTTATTACCTCCGTAATAAGAAAAGTGCCGTCCTCCGCCGGGTGGGGAGCCGAGCCAGCCGTGTCCTTGCTGAGGCCAGCCCGGCCCTGTGGGCGGGGGGAGCATCGGTGGGTCTCCTCTTCTCTCTCCTTTTCTCCCTTGGAGATTTCTGGAATCCCCTGTCCTTGCTCATGCTGGAGCCTAAAGAAAGGAGCTGCGTGGCGGAGTGTGTCGGGCGCTCCTCTGCAGCTGGCTGGGCTTTGTTCCCTGCGTGGACAGTTTCGTTCTCTTAGAAATGACACTTATTGTTTTCCTGCAGCTTCCAATGGAGGACATGTTGGCTGCAGAGCAGGCGGAGAAGGCCCAGATGCATGTGCAGAGGAATATAAGATAAAAATCCCTGCAATCCCACCTCCCAGAGGCAGAGAAAGGGGCCGTGGGGACGGGGACATTGGGGACTGGGCACCATCTCTTTTTGTTTTTTTGTTTTTTGTTTTAAAGAGACAGAGAGGCAGAGAGAGAGGGAGAGAGAAACTTTAATATTTATTTTTCAGTTATTGGCGGACACAACATCTTTGTTGGTATGTGGTGCAGAGGATCGAACCCGGGCCGCACGCATGCCAGGTGAGCGCGCAACCGCTTGAGCCACATGCCCAGCCCCACCATCTCTTTTTGTATCTGTGCATCTCTCCTTTCTCCATGGGCGCCTTTGTGGATTCCGTTCTCTTCTCGCTTATTCATTCCTCAACAGCACTTGGGGACCCTGCTCGGGCTGCCCCGTGCATCTTGTCAGCCTGTCTGACGGGCTTTGTCCGAAAGCTCTGTCCATCTGACACCCCTCCCCCGGGGCTGTGTGTACTGGGGGCTGAACAGAGATCCTGAGCAGAAAGAAATAACTGGAGGGGAAGAAAGACCCCTCCTCCCTCCCCTCTCTCTCCCGCCCCTCCCTCTGGACGAGGGACATGGGCCTAAGTCCCCCAGTCCCTTGTGCTGTCCCACCTTAGTTCTCAGTTCTTAGGGACAGACAAGAGGACAAGGGCATTGGGGCTGGGTGGAGGGCACGGCCCCCCGGGGGACACAGGACGGGGCTCTGCAGTGCTTCCCTGTGGGCTGGGAGCTGGGGGTGGACAGGGGACCAGGTCCTGGGTGGAGGGGCTTCACACTTGCCTCATCCCGGGCTGCTGGAAGGTTCCAGGTTCGAGGCTCGTGGGGAGCAGGAGTGGGGCAGTCTGGACCCCGCCCGCCCCTTTGGGAAGCTGGGCTTGGTCCCTGCATGTCTGACTGTCCCTGCGCCTCGGCCTGTCACCCCGACACAGTAGACAAGCCCCTGGCTCAAATCTTGCCACAGTCCTCCGGAGCCGTCTTCACCTGCAAAGTGCACAATCAGCGCTTTGACACTAACCTCCTCCTCGGCTCGCTCGCAGGAAGACGCTCCAACAGGCGTGCACAGGGGCTGGCCCTGCTGCTGGGTGGCCCTGTGTGTCTCCCCCGCCCCCAGTCTCAGTGGCTTCGCTCTAGGCCCATCTCCCCCCACCCCAGTGGGCTCTCCACCCTCACGGACCCCTGGCCCTGGCCCCTGAGGGCTGAGGCACCTGGGGCCCTGCCTGACCTCTTCTTCTGCCCCCAGTGAGCAGCACTGCTTCCTGCCTCTTCTGTCCCCAGAACACCTCCCTGAAGTCCCTGTCCTCTCTTTCCCCTTATCCTGGCCTGGACTCTGCTGGCCCCCTCCCAACCCTGGCGTAGTCTTGCAGGTTCCCAGACCTCAGTGGGAGCCATGGGGTGGTGGGTGGTGGTGTGGGAGGGACAGTGATCAGAGGGAATGGGTGACTGTGAGGGTCTCACGCTGTCATGACGTCACAGCCTACAGTGACCCAGAACCAGCTCTGCCCTTTCTCAGCCCCCAGCCCAGCTGTGGTGGCACAGGTGGGGCGTTGTCGGGGGCCTCAGCTCCCTGCTGTCTGGATGGCGCCCCTCTCACTGGCCGCGGTGAGATTGGAGCAGGCACGTGCAGGACTCAGAGGGGGGCCTGGACGCGGCTCTGGCTGGGCGGTGGCTCTTTTCACTGTCTGACCTCACAGATGAGGCTCAAGTGTCTGTGGCCACGTCCCCAGCACCTCCCCAGCCCCCGAATGGGCCACTCAAAGCGACTTGTGCACAGACCTGGCTGGGCAGGCCGAGGGAGGGACGGGTGGAGGCCGCATGGACACAGGAGCCCCCGCACACCAGGCGAGAGCAGGACTGACCATGGGTCGGAGGGACAGTGAATCCGACTCCAGAGACCTGCAGTGAGAAGAGCAGCCACAGGTTCCAGGGGTGGGAGAGAAAGGCCCTTGCTGGGCAGACCCGGTGACACAGACTGGGGCTCACAGGGGACCGCGAGGGGCTGCACCGGGAGCAGGCCAGCTGCGGCGCCTGGCAAATGGCCTCAGGTGCTGGGAGGAGAGGGAGGCAGAGATGGAGACCCCCAGAGGCAGGCGTCCTGGAAAGAGGCGGAGACGGGGCGAGGATGGGGTGGAGCTAGGGGGTGAGACAGGGTGCTCAGAGAGGCTCGGGACACAGGGACACAGAAGGAGACAGTCAGGGCGTGGTGTAGGTGACATAGTGGGGGAGAGGCCAGAGGAGGGGTGTGCCCTGTGCTCTGAGAGGGGAGGGTGGTCTCGGGAAGAGCCTGAGCCAACGTCAGGGCCAGATGCAGCGGCCGGGAGGGACTCGGGGCTGGATCTCAGGGGCACGGGAGCTGGCCAGGGCCGGGAAAGGGAGTGGTCCTGCCACAGCGGTAGAGAGCCACGGCAAGTGAAGAAGGTGGCACAGAGGGGCTGGGTGCAGCTGGGGAGGAGGGAAGGAGGCGGCTCACCCAGACGTGGCCTCCAGAGGGAAGCCGTGGAGGGCCAGAGGGGCAGGGCCAGAGGGGCAGGGCCGGGGCTGGGCGGGCACGGGCTCTTTCTGGGCCTCACATCCAGCCCAGGTTTGGGCAGAGGCAGGCACTCGGGGACCCTGGAGAGTGGCTGCAGGGATAAATAAATCATCTGTTCCACCTGGACACTCCTCGGCGTCCTTCAAGGCCCAGTCCACATGGCCCCTCCTGGCCTTAGCCTCTCGGATCCCGTCAGTAAGCGGCTCCCTCTCTGGGCTCCTCCACCGTGGGGCCTGTAAAGCGGATCTCAGAGGCCCTGGCCTTTCTAAAGGCAGCAGGTGCTGAGGGCAGAGCAAGACAACACAGCCGTGAGGATGACTAATTCTTACACAGGGCCTACTACATGCCAGAAACGTCCTAAGTGCCTTATGCGTGTCTGCGATGGTCATGAGGACTATTACGGTCTCTGTTTTATATGCAGGGAAACCGCAGCTCAGAGAGGTTAAATGACTTGTCCCAGGTCACACAGCAAGTAAGTAGGGGAGGTGGGAAGTGAACCCAGACCATCTGCCTCCAGGAAACTATGGGGCTTATGACACGTGGTAGATTGTTCAGCCCTTTCTCCAGGGCAGTGTAAAGGGCCGGCGAGTCTCTTTCTTTTCTGCATTTCCTGGGCCCCATCCTGTGCCTCCTCACTGGGCAGCTGCTCCCTAAGTGCTGAGTCCCCAGGGGTGAAGACCTCAGGCTCCTCTCCGTTGCCTCCAGCCCAGCCCCGGGCTCTGTAGCACCCGGTTCTGCTGTCCTCACTGGCGCTGGGTGTCACCTCCCACTGGGGCTGCAGCCAGAGCCCCGAGTCACATCCTCCTCCTGCTCCTGTCCCCCCCCAATCCTGTGGACTCTCCCGCTGTGTGTGGGGGGCCACCCCAGCTCCTCCCCCACCCTCACCCTCCACTCTTGCTCAGACACCTGTAACCTTCCAAAGTCTGTAAGCCGTAAACGAAGCTGGTGACAACATGCTCCATGTGGGGAGTCTCAGGATTAGTCCACTCTTGAAAAGCTGTTCCGCTGGGCCAGGCTCACAGCCGTAGCTGTTATTAGAGATTAAGTGGGAAGCGTGTTAGGGACTTGCTGAATGGATGAATGGTGGCCGTGGGGGGCCTTCCCTCTGCTTCCCTCCCACCCACTCCTGTCTGCAGGAGGAGCCTTCTGGGTTCTGAAGGATGCCTACACTGGGAGAAAGTCTTGGATCTTTGCAGCGAGTGCGCAGATCTCTCCCGTCTTGGAGGAAGTTTCCTCCTGACTCCGTTTCTCTTCCCGCTACGCAGAAAAGCCTGGAGACTTGCCCTTGCCCTTGCAGCGCCATTTCCCCCTCCACCTGCGTCCTCTACGCAGACCCCCTACTCGTCAAGACTCGGTGGCCTCCATAGTGCACACTGAAAGCAGTTTGTGTTTTTCCTTTTTTTGCAGTACTGGGGTTCAACCCAGGGGAGCCCTCCCACGCAGCTACATCCCCCAGTCCTCCTTTTATTTTTTTATTTTGAGACCGGGTCTCACTAAGTTGCCAGGCTGGCCTTGAACTTGGGATCCTCCTGCCTCAGTCTCCGAGTAGCTAGGACCATGGGAGTGCACCACTGTACCAGCTAATGGATGCTTCACTCTGTGGTCCTCGTCTTATGTGGACATTCTGAAGCGTTTCAGTGTTCTCGGTTCCCAGGGTGGCCCTCTTCATGTCCTCCCATGTCTTTCCATCATGGCCGAAAAGGAAAGCTGAAGAGTCTCTTCCAGGTGTTGTTGAGAGAGTCGGAGGCTCCGTCTGCCTGTCCTTTCTGTCTATCTCTGTCTTTTCTTTCTTGGGACTCTTGATTGACCAGTCCTGTACTTGAAACCCAGCAAGTTTTGCGTGGATGGCTTCCAGCGAGGCCTGACCCCCAGACTTTATGTCCAACTGTCCTCTGGACATTTGCACGTGGACGGGTAGGAGTGTGTACATCAGCCTTTCACCACTGTGACCGGAAGATCAGACAAGAACTATCTTATAGGAGGAACATTTTCTTTGGGACTCATGGTTTCAGAGGTCTCGGTCCCTAGACATCTGACTCCATCGCTCTGGGCCCAGGACATCATGGCGGGAGGCTTGGCGGACGTAACCAGCTCAGAACATGCCAATCAGGAAGAAGAAGAAGAGAGAAAGAGACAGGGAGCTCTGCTCACCAGGGACAAAATGTAAACCCCAAAGGCACATCTCCCGTGACCTCCTTCCTCCGGTCATGCCCTACCTGCCCACAGTCACTGCCCAGTTCCTCCATATCAGCTGATTAATCCATTTATCAGGTTGAGGCTCTCATTCTTGCATTGTCTAATGCATAAGCCTATGGGGGACATAGCAAGGGGCCCTTCAAATTTAACATGCTCCAGATGAGCCCCTGACTTCCATCCTCCAAGCCTGACCATGTCCCCTGCCCCCAGCTTCCCTCACGCAGTGCCTGGCACACCTGCCACCCAGCAGAAGGCAGGGCCCGTCCCTCCATCCAGGACCCTGTCTTAGGCCTCCTGGTGCCTCCTTCCAGCCCTCTCTGCCCACAGGCTCAGTGACTGCTACACAATGAAGATTCTTGAGTTTTTCTCTCCTGCCTCATCTTCGTGCTGGGCCTCTGAGCTTTGTGATCCAGGGAAGGCTTCCACGGGATGTCCCTCAGGCACCTGCTGGGCCCGCATCCCTCCCTCCCTGTGCCTTGCCTCCGCGCCACGGGGTGTTCCACTGAGTTTTGGGAATTCAGCGAGTGTCCATGGCTTTCCTGGGACTAGCTCAGCCTCCTTCCTGGCCTCCCTGCTTCTAACCCTGTTCCTAACTCATCCACCCTCTAGGACCAGAAGGGTCTTTATTTTTTTTTTTTATTTTTTTATTTTTATTTTTATTTTTTTTTTTAAAGAGAGAGTGAGAGAGAGAGGGGGACAGAGAGAGAGAGAGAGAGAGAGAGAGAGAGAGAATTTTAACATTTATTTATTTTTTCTTAGTTCTTGGCGGACACAACATCTTTGTTGGTATGTGGTGCTGCTGAGGATCGAACCCGGGCCGCACGCATGCTAGGCGAGCGCGCTACCGCTTGAGCCACATCCCCAGCCCCCAGAAGGGTCTTTAAATCACATCGTCCCACCTCCTGATCAGAGAACCCCAGTTCTGTGCCCCGGGAATCTGACGTGCTCTGACCCGATCGCGTCTCCTGCTTCATCTCCTGAGCTCTCTCCCTCTCCCTCCCCAGGGTCCAGCCCCCTGGCCTTCATGCTGTCCCCCAAACCCGCCAGGTTCCTTCCAGTCTTGGGGGTCTAGCCCTTGTCGTTCCTTCAGACTGCAAGACTCTCCTCTCAGAAATTCCCAGGGCTCCCTCCGGCCTCCTGTCTTTCAGCTCAGGCGCTGGTCATCCCCTCCCAAGTGGGCCTTCCCCTCCCCGGGCTCTGTCCCACCACCTCTCAGTTCTTCTCCAGCTCAGAATTGGCTTCAGTAGCTGACGGACCCTGTTTTCTGTCTTCTGCGCTGGGAGGCCAGTTCCAGAAGAGCGGGGGCTGACTCTGTCTGCTCCCTGCTGTCACTTGGTCATTCACACAGTAGGTGCTCAGTAAATTCTTGTGGATCCCACGCATGAATCTGATTGGTGATCAAGCACTTGCCTCCTCCCTCCGCCTGCCTCCCTGCCTTGCCCAATGGGGCTCCCTCTTCATTCTCCCTCTGAGCCCTCACAGGCAGAGTGAGTCATCCTGTATGTGTGTGTGCGTGTGTGGGCGCACGCCCACGCCTGGGTATGCGTGTCCATGTCTGTCTGACTCGCTGTAGGTCATATTTCTGTTTCTGTCTCACTCACTGGGTTTGGATTTAACTTTAGGTTTTGCTTCATTCACTCACTTATGTGTTAATTTGTTACTTTATCCAGTTATTCCATCTTTAAATATCTTGGGGAAGATGCTAGACAGTGTAGATTTGTGATGTATGATGTGCTACATCTTGAAACTCTCCTAAATGGGGGGTCTTATCTGATTTTGTTCTCATTTCTGAATTACTCCATCCACCCACCCACCCACCCACCCACCCAGTTGTTTCTCTACCCATCTCCCCACCAATCTATCTATTCACCAGTCCACCCACCCATCCATCCACCCATCCATTCAACCATGCATTCACCCATCCATCCATCCATCCATCCATCCATCCATCTACCCATCCATCCATCTATCCATCCATCCATCCATCCATCCATCCATCCATCCATCCATCCATCC